AAGAGGCAGAAACTGCTGTTGAACACATCCAGCGAATTGGATGGATGGACGGACGGACATACAGACGGACGGATGGACGGACAGAAGTAATACCGTTACACTAATACTGAATTTGTTAAGCTTAAACAATCGAATAAAATGAAAATAACTGGCTAAGAATTCAAAAACTGAGCATTCCACAAACACGTTCTTAGAGTAATACGTTTTCAATGTGGAGGAATGAAATGGCGGTTTTGTCTTAAATTTGTGGAATGCCATTGAACTGCTGTTAACGGTCTGAGAGTCTGGTACTCCGATATCTTTAAAAAAAAAGGAGAGCATAGACTGCTCGTTTTCATTTGAATAGCAACACTATAGGATTTCACCCACAGACTTAAAGTTAGAACTACATACTTAATATATAGTACCAAGTGAAAGTACTGCTGAAGAGGTTTCATTTGACTGGTAACACCATAGGATACAAACTGAATAAATACAGTGCTGAGGAGGTTTCATTTGAATGGTAACACCATAATATTTCATCCACAAATCAAACTGAAATCATGATAGAGCTGTACGTGTTAAATGAATTGTGACCTACCAGCGATTTAATACTGAATTTAATATTTTGTTGTTTTCCTACGCGGGATGTATTCGTCACAGTTTGTGTTTTTCGAGTGTTTAACATGCGAAATCCGTCGAGTAATTCAGTGTTTGACCATGAGTAGAGGAACAAGAAATAAACTGCTTCGTCTTTTTTTATATTTCTGTGCTTCGCTCTAATGGATTTAAACGGGCTAAGGTCACGCTATTTCAGAAAAATATCTGAATTTCATTAAAACTTTGAAAGCCGGTTCAAAACAATTAGAGAAATTCGGAAAAGCCAAAAATGAGCAGGAATCAGCTAAACTAAAGATGATCAAACCGGACGATTGCACTCAAGTTATCTTTAAACTTATGAAACTGTGTTTTCTGATGCATCATTTTATCAATGAAAAGCATATGTTTTAGAAAATTGTTAAAAAAGGTTTCACTGCCTTTTGAATTTTTTACTTTACCAACCCTCGCGGAGTTCAAACAGTTCATCGTCATCTCCTCAAATTACGTCAAAACAATAAAAAAAAAATCACATGAACAATAAGATTTTATGTTAGCCTTAACAGATGCATGCGTTGTTTTTGTTGAAAAGAGGCGTTGACACTGTGATAATATGTGGATTTAGCTAGGGCTAGGGCTAGGGCTAGGGCTATTTATAATTTAAATCAAACACATTCATGTGACTTTTGAGGGAAAGGCTAAATGATTTTAAAGCAAAATAATTTGCAAACAGTCCAAGAGTAAAACAAATCTGACATCAAGTTAATAGCCTTATATTTACACCCAAACGATAGCAATCATCTTCGATGAGTCAAGAGTCATAATGGCAATTTACACATTGTATTAAAATTAAAACCTTAAAGGTTTCATTCCTTTGTCTAAAAGGGAGGCCAAAATAAAAAAATCAGGCCCAATTTTTTTTCGACAAGTTTACTTTATTTCAAAATCTTGCCAACAAATCTGGTGATGTGTAAGCTAACCATGCATCTATACTTTTTATACATCATATCTGAGCTAAAAAGTATACCATGAGGCGGTGTTGTTTTACGGTAAGCTTACATACCTCGGACAGAATGCGGTTTTTCACAATTTTGCAGGAAAAATTTTTAGTTCC